TTATCAGAACTGCACTGCGAAAATACAGCTTTCCATCAGCCTCTCACCATACCCATAGGAAAAGTGGTTCGACAGAACGACACAATATCGCAAATGCTGTTTAGTGCCGCACTGTAGTGAGTATTGAAGTCACTCGATTGGGATTAGAAAGACATACGTATTGATGCAATATTCCTATCAAACTTTCGTTTTGACGACGACATTGTCACTTTCTCAAGAAGTACTAGCGAAGCAGAGATTATGATCAGCGAGTTCAACGAAACGGAGAAAAAGGTCGAACTTCGCAAAAATCGAAAGAAGACCCAGTTCATGAAAAATCCATGGTGCGAAGGCAAGAAAATTGAATTAGATGGTTCTCTCATTGGAGAGATCACATCGTGCGTTTACCTTGGGCGATCAATGAACATGGAAAACAACATTAAGGAGGAACTAGATAGAAGAAGGAGAGCAGCTTGGGCAGCATTCAGGCCTCTCAAACCAGCCACCGACGAACTGAAGGACTCGAAAATCCGCGCTCATCTCTTTGATTTTACGGTCCTCCCAGCGTTCTGTTCAGCTGCAGAGAAGTGGGTTGGTACTTCAACTACGTCAAGAGTGCTTCGTCGAGAGTGCACAGAGGGCATGAGCGATGTCTTCTGAAATATAATCAGCACTCTCAATCTGTCTGTCAGAAAATTTGTCACATCTTGGACGTGTTCGTAAACAAAGTTAATCAGCTGTACCTACGGCTGAAGTTATTTTACAGATCACGGTATGAGACTCGCACGAGCTACCGTGCTCGAACAAGACCATCACCATGGATTACGATTGCGAGAGAAAGGAACGAATGGCATATGTGCTGGGGTCCGCACAACTCGTGAAGACGGACCGTCCTAGTGTCCAAGTAAGTAAGTAACTCTAGAAAAACTTCTTAAGTGTGCTAAACTTCGAAGCAAGCGTTTTCCTAGCAAAAACCTCGATAAACGCCTTACATGTGTTAAAATGTGAGATAAGCGCTTTCGGCGCGAAACTATAGAAACGTGCCTAACGTGCGCTAAACCGTGGAATAAGCCTTTTCTAGGCGAAACTCTCGAAGAACGCCCAATGTGCGCAAAACCTCGAAAAAAAATCCCGTATTAACGTTGTTAGGGCATGTGCAGCACAGTGGTTCCAGGTGCACTGCAGTACAAGCGCGATTTTTGGTTGGAACCAGCGTCCTAAACAACAACGGCCTCCTCCCATCTGGGGCTAAATAATGGGTCCTATACTTGTCTTAGAAGATAAAATAGAACCGACTTTATACACTATCGGCCACTGCAATTCACTTTACAGGTCAATATGCATCCACTCATTTGTCAATCAATGAATGTATTCTAAAGCGTGGCACATTACTAAGGGATGAATGAACGCTGAACACGTAACTTTTCTTACCGCTCACTAGCTTTATAAACTGTGCTGCTATCACCTGTACCACCTGTAGTCCCGTTGATCGTCGAGTAACTCGAATGAGCGCCAGTAAATCTTCTACTTTTCCCTGTCGCGTACAAGAGTAGCCCAGTGCATTTTGTTCGCTCTAGGGACTCGTTGATCATCATGTCTTCCTTCTAGGCTTTTCGTGAAGAACTCTGACCATCGGGTTGGTGGTCTTCCTGCAATGAGTTTGACATCCCGAGGAATCCAGTCACTAACGACTCTTGTCCATCGGTTGTCATTCATACGCATTACGTGTCCGGCCCATCTTATCTTCGGCTGTTTGGCGTACAGAACGGCATCTTTGATTTTTGATCGTTGACGCAGATCGGAGCTTCGGATCCCATCTCTTACTTATGTGGAACGGGATACTCCTAGCATCGCCCTTTCGACTGCACGTTCGATAACGCTGAATGACCTTTCATCCTGCTTACGCAGCGACCAGGTTTCTGACGCATACGTTAGGGCAGCAAGTACCATTGAGTCGAAAAGGTGGGCACGGAGTCGGGTGTTCTTTGTTCTCTTCACTACATCCTCGATGCTCTTGAAAGCTTCCCAAGTAGCTCGTTTTCTTCTGCTCAGTTCTGGAGCTATGTCGTCCTTCATATTGATTTCACGAACTAGATAGATATAACTGGAGCATTCGGAGACCATTCGTTCCGTTGAGCGTGAATGGGACATGCAAAACCAATCCGTCGTTCATGAACATCGTTTTAGTGAGATTTAGTCGAAGACCAATCTTTCCACAGGCTTTATCAAAGTCGTCAAGCATACGTTCCGCTTGGCTAATGTTCAGTGTTGTGAGGACGATGTCATCAGCAAAGCGAAGATGGTGTTACTGCCGACCATCGATTTTCAATACTATATTGTCTCATTCCAATGTTCGCCTGACGTTCTGGAGGGTGGCGGTAGATAATTTGGGCGAGATGGTATCGCCTTGCCTAACTCCTTTTTTGACGTCAATGTTAATATCGTTGTAGAATGGTGATATCTTGGTTGTGAAATTTTTGTACAGCTCACGAAGAATTTTATGCACTGAGTAGGGAATCCTTGACTATCAAGGGTTTCCGTGACTGCTTCTACCTCAATTGAGTCAAAGACCTTCTGTAAATCGATGGAAGTGAGGCGGAGCTGTCTTTTGTACTCTCGTGATGCTTCAAAGAGCCTTGTTACCGTGTGGATTTGGTCCATGGTACTAAATCCTTTACGAAACCCTGCTTTCCCCCACGTGGTTGTCTTCTTCTAGTGTTCTGTCAATCGTGTTTAGGATGACTCGAGTGGAAAGTTGGTAGACGACAGACAGCAAGCAGATTGCGCAATAGTTGCCGATATTGTGTAGGTCGCCCTTCTTGAAGGTCTTCCACTCTTCCACACGGTCTTTCTTCCACTGAGTAGAGACCTTGCATTGAGATAGGTAACGTGTGAAGAGCCGAGCCAGTGTGTTTACGAGGACTGGCGGAAGCTTCTTCAAGTGTTCTGATTTTATCCTTTCCGGTCTTGGTGCTGTTCGATTTTTCACCGACGAAGTAGCATGTCGGATTTCGGAAGGGAGAACCGGTGGTACGACGAATCCATCCTCCTTTATTTTATATGAAGGAAGGACGACGTGGCTATCAAAGAGATCCGAGTTGTATTCGTGAATGATTTTCCAAATTGCCTTTCTGTACGCTGTAACTGTTCCGTCTGGGTGCCGGAGAGGAATCATTTTGGTCTTGTAATCGGCGAAGCTTCGGTGGGATTTGCGAATGCTTTTCCCAGCCTCTGCAGCTTCGGCCATTACTGCCGCTCTTCTCTCTCTAAGATCTCCTTTTATCGCCTGTCTCCATTGTTCTGCAAGTCCGGACGTTAGTTCGCGGTTGCCTGCAGCTTGTCCGATTCCACGCTGAAGTATCCGCTCGAGTGTTTCTGGAGACAGAAGTCTTTTGGTGACTTTCGAACTCTGAGCTTTCATAGCGCTAGCGTGAAGATATTGAATGAGCCGATCGTATTCCTCGTCGATGTTATTGACAACGGCGTCTTCCCAACAGCCGACTAATGAATTGAATAAATCCCAGTTTACAGTGGTTCTGGGATTTCGATTTTGGAATTTAGCGGATTTTTCTTCTTCCCGCAAGAAATAGAATCTTGCACGAAGGACACGATGGTCTGATCCCATATAGAATTTTGGGGAAACAGCGACATCGGTTAGGCAAAACCTTCTGTTTACTATGATGTAGTCTATTTCGTTATGGTACTCTCCATTGAAATAAACTGTGCTGCTATACTCTAAAAAACAAGCTTACCCTGAACTAACTTATATCTGCCATATAGTTGGTATCTGCCGTTGAAATTACAGTATTTGGTGGAGATTTCAATACTGAAATTTACCTGGCACTGAGGGGTTACACAGTGAATTATGTGACAGGTGCTTAGCAAGTTTCGAACAAGAAATGCTCTGAATTAAGCAGATCAGCATGCACTCGAATCTGCTCAGTGGTGTGTAACTGGTTTGCGTGTCTGTGCAATGCTGCGTCGATTTCCACGTACACGCTAACGCAAACATACACATGAAGCGGTGAGATCGGCCGATGACAAACAAAAACTTCAAATAGATGAACGGGCAACGTTGACTTTTCAGCCTGAAATTACCACTGGACCGGTACGCGAGTAGATAAAAGGGGAATCACCACCACAGGTCGCGCCGACCGATAACGACAACGAATGCTGCGCTTCCTGCTTCCGATTGTCTGCTGTTTGATCGCCGTCTCATTGGCTGAACCGGTAAACTTCGTTCATTTTCCGACATTATCTGCAAATTTATCTTATATATCAAGTTTTGTCAAGTGAAATAAAGAACAGTATTTAATAAACTCTACAAAGTAGTAGTTAGGCACAATTGCATTACTCGCGCTTCTCGTTCCATTGCAGGACCACTAAACGGTAAAGTCGAAAATGGAGACTTTATAGAGCTTCGCCTATTTATTTCGTGTTTAACAGGACTATAGGTGGTATGATTACAGAAGCAATTACCGTTGCCTAAGCCTTCGCCTAAGATTTACCCAAATACCGTACTTTGATCAATGAATGCAAAATTTTCTAAAAATTTTTAAAGATCACTAATTGAAGCAAAATTTTTGCATATAAATGAATAGTTATGTGCTTAAAGTTAATCCTTCAATGATCCACTGACTGTTCAAAAAAAGCTATGGCTGACTACGCAAGCGTGTAGAAATTCATCAGTGTAGTGTAATAGGAAACTCACAGACGCTCAGAAACTGCGCGGATCAGATTTGGATCTAAGCAAGTCTAAGTTAAGTGGACCGCTACCAAATCTGTTGAAGGTTTTTTATGATCTCTCCCGAAAGTTTCGAAAGTTCCATCTGCAGTTTCACAAGTTATTGTTCCTCCGAGGAAAACAGTGCTAAAGACACCAGATTAGTAATCGATTCCAGATAGCCTAGATTACAGGCGATTCTTTGTAAGATAACGAGAGACTTCATTTCAAGACTATTTACCAAGAAGTTTTTTTATTGTGTTAGAAAGTTCTGTCCGAAAAAAGAACGCAGCTACCGATGTACATCCTCTGTGCCTTACAGCTTCGTACTCGTCGTCATACTTGCGGATGTGCAACACAGCAACCACAATGTGTTTGTATAGCTGTCGTCGAACTCAGTACTCAACAGAACTGCCAATGTGCTCAGCCACAAGCAGCGCCAAGTTGTCAGTGTTATCCTCAACAGGTACGCTTGGAAGCAGTGGCCATCATTTTGCTCACAGCTCTCTCTTTCCTCCTTCATATTTCTGTTCTCCCATCTACATCTTTTTAATATCCATTTCTCCTTGTCTCACTTTTCGTTTGTCGGATCTCCCCTTTCCTCTAATCGTTAAGCTGTATTCTCCAAAGTGAAGCAATCAAAATTTGTTAAGCGGAAGCGTTCTATATGAGAAATCCTGAAGAATCAGCTTAAACCTTCTTCTACCCTACTCGGTAATTTCTAGCAAATCAACCAATGTCCACCAGTATGCCAATCAACATGCGTTGATTCATGTGTGCAGCAACAGCAACCATTAGTTCAATGCCAGCAGGCTTGCAGTAATACCTGTCAGACGGCTTGCAACCAACCAGTGCAACTACAACCTCTACAACAGCAACAACAAGTGAGTGGGAAACATTTTTTAGAAACACTTAAGGAAAGCTGCAAATTTCACTGTAAAACTTTGGAACGAAATGAATGAAAACAATGAAAAGTTGATGAGTGTTGTCTCAGTGAGTAATGGCAAAGTTTTCAGTGTATTCAACAGTGCAACGTCGCCTGTCAGCAGCAGCAAAACCAGCCAGCTTGCCTACAAACCTGCCAGACAAGCTGGTAAGTGCTTCACAAATAGTGTTTCGCTGGCAGCGCATACAAGATTGTAGCGCTCAGCTTGTTGGTTTTATGAGCTAACGAGAAGATTACGCTAGAAAGAGGATTACGCATGGGAGCGCAGTCCTGGTTTTCTCTTGTGTAGCCACTGATTTAGAGTAGAGCAATCTGTTGAAGTGATTTTAATTAAAGCTCTGCAAAATTGTTTTGACAACATGGATACCTGTTCCCACGACTCGTTCAAAACGACAAGACTTCCATTTTCGATCCTTTCTCGGTTTTGGACAGATGTTCATGTCCGTTAAATCATAACCCTTGGTTACGGTGTTATTTACTGTTATATTTGTCATGTTTGACTGCTATTTTTGCGGTTGAGTAAGAATTCTCATTCTAGGGTCCCGAACGCCTTGCTACTTGCCTTCTCAGGTCGTCAACACTTAGCATATAACCATGTTATTGCCAAGATAGTAGTGTTTCTCGATACAGTTTGCTCATCGCTGGGCTTTCGGGCTAAAATACCAAGCTACTTGTCAGCTCGGAATGCTTTTCTTGTTTGTGATCATTTGAACAGTTCAACATCGATACGGACAACTTCTTGCGCAGATTATTACACTTACATGTTTTTTGAATGCTATACTTGAGTCGTCAAGAACAGCTGCTCGGAGTCGTTAACCTTATGCGACTCTGAGTGGCTGTACTTCCTTGGTGAAAGACAGGTGAAAAAAGCGGCTCTGAAGAAGGCGCTTCTGCCGAAGCATCAGCTACGGTTGTATTGTGTGTGTGTTATTGTATGAAAGTAAATGTACGCTGTTTAACAACATCGCGATTGCTGCGAATGAAAAGGACGAATTTATATGCCAATGTCGAGGTTAATAGAAAGTCGATTCTGGGAGCTATGCCTGATATTTGATACTTAAATAACCCATCTGCTGTGCGGACCCAGCATAATCTCCACTTTTCGGAGATTTGCTGGTCAAGAGGGAGATTTGCCACCATGCGACTTTGATACCAGGACGGCGGTGGATCCTGGTATTGGTTTACTCTTAGCTAGGCTTCCTGATGGAAACGCCGGACTCCTCAGCTAGGGAGACCATGCCAGGGAATGAATCCTCCGCTGTACATCGCAGTCCGGCACCTATGAACACCTGCCAGCCACGATGAGGCGGTAAATCGTTGAGAGGGATTTTGAATGCTATTGCAAATCAAAACTCATGAGTTTTTTTGGGAAGATTCGATTTTAATTTGCTTTCCAGATGAACGATTAAGGGATAAAATGCTAAATAATAGACGAAATGCATTTCATCGCTTTCAGTCTACCAAACGAGTACGGTCAGCAGATTTACAACACTCCTGGCTACTTGCCGAGCAGTACCCTGCCACCAATTACATACCCCGCAACAGTGGTGACGGTACGTCTACCTGATTAAGTTGCATGCCATTAGCGGAGTAACTCTTTCGGTAATGATTGTCATCCATGCTCTTCAGCCACCACCGTATCTACCGTATCGTGAAGGACAGAATGAGTGTCAACAATGCATGAATGCTTGCATGAATGAATGTTCAACTGCCGGACAACCACCACAATCGTGTCAGCCACAATGCGAACAGAACTGTCGACCACTTTGTCAGCAACAGCCAATACAGCAACCACAACCGTATCAACCTTATCGTCCATATAGTCCGGTAAACGTTTTGAACCTTCCACTTCTGTTCTCTCGTTGGATGTTAGCGCGTGATTTATCGTATACACTGAATAGACTACTTATTCAATGTTGATGGTAATACAGAGCAAAACTGTAACGTTAAGCAATGTAAGAGCAAACGATTACAATGTGATTCTGTATGATTTCTTCACTTTTTCAATCGATAAATCAATACGGCTTGCAGCACGATCAGAATCAATGCAGTGAATGTCAATCTGCTTGTCTACAATCTTGCCAACAGCAGAACGCTCCAAATTGTGAGCAACAATGTAATCAACAATGTCAGGTCGTCTGTCAGCAACCGATCGTAGGCTTATTAATTTATTTGTTTAATTTTTATAAATATATGGATCATTCCGTCTTAGTGAAGATTTCAAGGAAAATATTTTGAGCACGTCTCAATCGGTTATCGGATTTAATTTTAGCAACCACAGCAGCAGCAATGTGCACCAGCATGTCAACCAAGCTGTACAGTGATTTGCATTCAAGCTCAAGCTCAGCCTACACTTCAACCTCAACCTCAACCAGTCGTTAGTTTGGTATTTGTATGAACCAACTTCTGTTATAGCATAGTGGTTAGGGGTGACGAGTTGGTTCGATCCCATGCCTCGGGCTAACCAGAGAGAGAGAGAGGCCTTCTATTCTTCCGTTTCGGTAAATTCGGAGTAGAATTGCCTTTATCGTACGAATGGAATCGAATGTATGTTGCCTCCCCATGGTTTTTTTTTTCATCTTCCATCATTTACGACCTCACTTCACATATTGTGAAGCACTTCATTCAGTCCATTGTCGTCAACACGGGTTCTAAGAAGAACACCATGTTTGCGGGAGGATTTAAGTGGACACTAGAAGATTGTCACCTTCATTACCGCCCATGAATTCTAGCTGAATTGATTCTCTACACAATGCTGAGATAACTTTTCTACGGCGTTCTCAAAATTGTCGCCACACTTTGTGGATAGGGAAAGATTTTTCAGCATTACTGGTTTAGTATCAATTTGACGATTCCGAACTGAAGAGAGATTTAGATGACCTTCGACTGGGTTGAACTGCGACCATGAGTGAAGAGTAGGACATTTTAAACCGTTGCACTTTCCACACCCCCTTGTTTAGTAGGCTGCTATAAAAGTTTTGATGATCTAACAAAACCACTTGTTGTTATTTCATACATTGTCATGTCGGAAACTTCAGGTACAACAGTCGGTACAATGTCCTCCAGGTTGTCAACCAGCTTGCTTGCCAACATGTGTTCCACAAGTGCAGAATCAACAGTACCAGCAGCAACAATACCTGCAACAACAGTACCAACAGCTGCAATACCAACAGCAGCAGTACCAGCAGCAGTACCAGCAGCAGCTTGTGCGTTTATTCATCTTACTTAGTCTTAAGCAGTAATGACTCCGCGAAAACTGGCATTATTCCAGCAACAGCCAACTCGAAATAAAGTGATACTAACTATTAATGTGCCGATCTCATCGTCATCTGCTCAATGTCAACCACAATGCGAACAAATCTGCAACACGCAGTGCGTACAACAGAATCAGGTAATGGGCACAGAAAAAAGAACTCCCTCTGTAGTAGTGGAAACTAGGAGACTATGTTGGCCTTGCCATCAGAACCTTTTTTGCAGCGCAAAAAAGTGTGCAGTAATCTGCCAGCGAGTCAGTAGTGATCGGTATTCAGTTAAATACCAATTAATTACAACACAGATTGAATCTGAATAAACACTGATTTCAATTCAGGCAAACCAATGTGCTCCCGCATGCGCCCAGTCGTGCTCACAGTCCTGTCAACCGTTGGCTACAATAGTAGCCTGCCAACCTATGTCAAACGCTCAGAACTGCGCTTGCCCCCAGAACTACAATCCGTGCGGTTCACAGTGTTGCCGAAAATGACATATTTGTCGTCTTGCCCAAAGGGTATTTGTATATATGCAATTTGAATAAAGCATTGTTATGGAGAGTTAACAATACTTCATAGTTTCTTTTATAAAAGATAAAGGATAAAGCTTTCAGCGTTGGTAAATCTTTGAGGGATGCGCCATGCATTCGACTTCATTAAGTATCGTTAGAGGTGATTGAATGCATGTTTAGCCTTTTTACAATCGTGGTCGGTGGCCTACCGATGTATCGAGCCAATGCTGCTATCCTCCCATACAAGTCTGGTACCAATTTGCCGACTCCAGAGGGATGGAGAGCTTGACAAGCTATGGGGTCGGGGATCGATTCGATGTGTGCGTCGCAGTGGCGCCTCCAACCACCGCCACCCGCGCCCTTTTACAGCATAGGGTAACCTAACACAAAAATTGGCTTCCTGCATGGCTTCCGCTCCCGTGCTCAAGCTTCTTTGGGTGAATATATGAGAACAATAACGATAAGCACAAGAAAATAACAAACGAAAAGGAGCTTAACATTAATCTGTCCTGCAGGAATACGTCATCCATTGTACTTCATTCGTATCATAGTAAAGATGTTTAAATACGTATTTGGTTTAGGCTTGCGATGGCCGATGCACGAAGGTGGTACATAAATATGGAACTATCAAATTGAGAAGATATGGAATGCAACCACAAGAATGCTAAGATATGAGCAAAACTTAGAACCTCAGCTGGGCTTCTTACACGCGATTACGCTTACCCGAGTCTGACGCGTTATCCACCACGCCAAGAGGGGCCTTGCTTCGGTTTTCTGTCAGTCACGGGCACGTTCTAGGGAGCACAATTAGGTGATGAGTTAAGCTGAACGAACCTTCAATCGAAATCACTATATCTTAGCCTATATTGTAAATTAAGAGAAAAAGCTCGGCTCTCGAAGCATTCTATCACTCCGGGATCGAATGTCGAATGTATGGCACACCCTTCAGAGATTGACCAACGTCAAACGCTTCATGCTTAACCCTCCCATGTTATCATACACAGAGCAGTCGACATTCGTTCTTTATGCTGTTCAGGTGCCGTGGATTATCATCAACGGTGTTCGAGACAGACAAGTTGAACACAATCTGCAACGAGTGCTATGCATACGATATTTGAAACCACGTCCCGACACTTGTGCTCACTATGAACCTGATCTCACGGAGAAGTCACGTGAGATACTCTGAAAGCGTCGATGACCAGTCTGTTAAATGGCCGTCGAAACGGTGCAGATGTAAAATTCTATAGTGCAAGAAAACAACATGGAGTAATTCCTTATCGATGCTAAGTTATTTGAAATCACCTTTATTTTTGGGTTGATTCAATGAATTATTGAGCTGATTATTCTTTCATTGCTTTATTATTTCTTATCGATGATAGAAAAAATGCCTATCGATTTTTCAGGATTGATGGCAAACTAGTGGGTTAAAAACTTTGGTTGAGTGTTCAGATTTTCTTAGCGATCGTCATAACTTCTTTTCGGTTTTCCATCGTTATTTGCATTTGTTGTCACTTGTTTTAAGAAATTACCATTATTTCATTCGATGTTCTCTTGCAAAAACGACGAGACAAACGTAAAAGAAGCCGTAAAACTCACGCAAAGAAGGCATAGCTTCATATTTTACGACGTTACCGAGATTCAGGAGAGGTGCGCGTGGCGCAGCGGTTGGAGGTGCCCTGGAACACACACATGGGATCGATCGCCGCGCTCATGGCCTACCAGGCTTTCCATCTCTCCGGGGTCGGTAAATTGATACCAGACTTGTCTGGGAGGATAGCAGCACTGACTCGATACATCGGAGGGCCACCGCGAGTCGTTATAAAGGCCAGATGTGCATTCAATATCAATATTCAACCTCCAAACGATGCTTAATGAAGTCGAATCCATGGCGCATCCCTTAGGAATTGATCACCACCGAGAGCTTTATCCTTGATCCTTTATCCCCCCAGATTCTGCTACTAATAAACGAATTCTGGGGTCACTTAGGAACGGGTTTTTAAGGATCGGTCGTTTTTGCCATTTAGAAGTCCCGTTTGAGAGGATTGAACATCTTTCGTCAAGCCTTAAAATACAGTAAGGTGTGCGGTAATGCATTGTCACAATGAACACTGAGTTTTTCTTCGAAAGAAATAGTTTTTGACACATACAGAAGATAGAGGATAAACCTTTTAGAGCTGATCAATCCTCGAGTTCTTGAGTGATGCATCATAACCACATCATGCATTGAAGAGGTGATTGAATCTGTGCTATACAATGACTTACGGTGGCCAAGCGATTTATGAAGTCAGTTTTTTTATCCAGGCCGACAAACGTGGTAGTAATTTTCCGAACCCGTAGAAATAGACGGCTTGGCGATCCTGGAGTGCTCGATTAAACTAGCGACAGAACCAGTATCTATTTTTTAAAGCACCTCTAACCACTGCGCTACACGCACTCCTTAACATATAGACAAACCAAAGGTTGTTTCAGTCATTTTGTCCTAAGCAAAGGATGAGTAGCAGGAATCCACAAAGGGAATAAATCACTGAGTTTATTATTATTTTGAGAAATTGTGGTACTGGAACAGAATGGCGTTTCGTTTTCTCCCCTGTTGATCTTCGTAGTGACTTCATGACTCCAGAGGGCGTCAGTAAAATCTTTATCCATCCATCCAAGGGTTCCTCACTCTACTCTGTTCGCTCTTGAAAGTCGCTTATCATCGTGTCTTCTAGAATTACCGTGAAGAGTTCCAACAATCTGATAGATTGAATCTCTGCTGTGTGCATACTATTCCATGGGACCCAATCAAACGTCTCGTTTCGATCGTAGTTGTTTCGATACATCAAGTGTCTGGCTCACCTTAATTTGGACATTTTGGCGTGTATAGCGACCGTTTCAATTTTTGGTCGTTGGTGTAGTTCGGAGAACCGGACTCTCACTTTACTTGCGCAATGGAAACCCTCTCAGCATCGCTCTCTCGACCGAACATTCGATAGCGCTAAGTGTTCTTTCATCCTGCTTACGTAGCGACAAAGTTTTACCCGCATACTTTAGTACAGTTGAAAATCATAGCGCTGTAATGCGGACCGCATAATGCTCGCTATATCCTGTGTTTTTGAAAACTTCCAAAACGCTCGATGCCTGATTCTCGGCTCTGGGGCCAAGTCGTTCATTATCTTGATTTCTGGAACAAGAAGCACAGAGCTGTAGCATGACACGATATTCAATCCGTTGAGCGTGAATGGCGCATCAGAAACGTCCGATTCTCATCACATTATCTACTTGAAATCCACTCGAAGACCAATCTTTCTACAGTAAATTTCGACGACAAGCATCATTTGTCTACCCTGTGCAACATTACTTACCTGGACAATTCGATGGCCCGTTCTCACTAGTTGGGAGGACCCCATCATAATTTCCGTTTTTTCGGAGTTTTGTTGGTTAAGCCATTGTGGTTACCTGGAACCCTGAGTTCAGCCTGGCCAAAGTCTGTCAAAGGTCCACCACCACTGGCAGTCGCACCCTTGTGAATCAGAGGGAGATTTGCCACCATGCGACTTTGATACCAGGACGGTGGCGGATCCTGGTATTGGTTTACTCTTACCTAAAGTTCCTGATGGAAAAGCCGGACTCCTCAGCTTGGGAGGCCCTACCAGGGTATGAATCCCCCGCTGTACATCGAAGCGAACACCCAGGAACCCCTCTAAATCACGATGTGGCGGTAAACCATTGGGAGAGTTCAATGTTTGGTTCGATTAGAAAGGTATTACCGGAGATGGTCTCATTTCTGACTAATTTGTTTGAAATTCCATATAACCATAATTGCAACCATCGCATAACATTCCTCACTACAGCTTCAAGTTATTTTGAAGAAGACGTATTGCCTGTCAACTCTTCTCTTTATGTCCACGTCAATATTATTAAAGAATAGTGATATCCGGACCATGAAATTATTGTGTGGCCAAGGAACAACGCTTAAAAACTGTAAAGCGACCGACCAGCTGAAAATGATCAGTAAATCTACCAGACAAGCTACAAAGTGCTGTACAAATAGCGCTCCGTTGACATCGCAGACAATCTAGCGCCAGTTTTTAGGTTTAATGAGCGAACGCGAGGACTACACTAGAAAGAGTGTACATAGTGACGACTCCGTTCAATTCCTCCGTACTTCTTTTGACTCATCTCTCTCACACTGAAAGACGCAGCAATTGTATAGGTTTTGATAAACGGTGAAGCTAATAATAATAGATTTTAACCGCGGTGCAGTCCAATTTTCAGTCGTCCATTGCTCGATTTTGGGAGAGCCGTTTTTGAAACTATGAAATGGCTGTGCGAGAATGCCCACAGCGTTTCACCATATATTTATCGGCTCTAAGTAATCGAATCAATATTTTCCACAATGATGTTAGCCGTTCACCGCGACATTGAGGACTCCAGGCACTGGTTAACTCTTAGCTGGGTTTTCGAAGGGAAATGTCGAACTAGTTATCACCTTAAGAGGCCCTGTTCACGGAATAAAGTATCCGCTGCATACCGCTACTCGATATACAGGGACAGAATAGCAACCACATACAAACTAAGAATTAAAATCTATACTACTATATCGACTATGACGAATTCCATTTGTTCCAGTTTTCGTATCGATTAGCACAATCAGCAGATCTACAATTAGTGGTTACTTGCCAAACAATCGTTTACCATCAGTCGCAGTTTCTCCTTTCACTTAAAGAATATCTCAGTCGGATGACTTATACAATGACTTATACAGCAAGATGAGCAGTGACAATCTGAAACACTAAAGCAGCCGAACTCCCATGTCCAAATTCAAGTGCAGCCAGTTGTCCACTCACCTGCAAAAATCGAATGGACTAAAAAATCACTCATTGATAGTTCAGTTTTGTATCAACAATCGTACGAACAACAATCAGACTAGATGCGCTTCCTTTTTGGACAAAAATTGACCAAATTCTCCTCCATTGTGTAAATCAGACGCTGACTTTCACCTTAGAATCAGATCCTTTCCCCTTGTTCAAAAAAAAAAGAAAGCCGCATTGTAGTCTGTTAAAGAACTAGTAACGTTTGCTGCACAGCCGATATTTCTTTGGTGAACCGTAAACATCGAATCAAATCTCGAGGCACCAATTCATCAAGCGTTAAAACACAACCCCAACAACCATTTAGCTTGAATTTGAACAAAAATCGATGTCGATTCACAGTGATCAGTACAACCAGTCAACGTCATCAGGGTCTAACCAGCCATTGGCTCCTGTATGAACGGCTGGTTGTTAGCTGTCCTGTATTAACCTACGAGTAAACGTCTTAAATTGTAGTTAGCCAGGCACTAGCTCTTGCTCCGCCCTATCAACCGCTGGAGATATTCAACCTGCGCGACTAACACCAACTCCCTCATCGTCCTGCCCACAGTATATTTGTGTACTGTACAAATTGAACAAAGTATCGCCACAGGCAAACAACGATATTCTAGAGGTTCTCCTACAAACCCTTAGCAAACGGTGCGGATACGATAGTTGATCGGCGTAATAAGTACTGAGTTATTACCCAAGATTGAAAAAAGTTCTCAGAAGAAATGTAGGTAGAAATTTGATGTTTTATAGATTTTATTCATGCGAAGATATAACGAAATAAAACGAACTCAAAGAAAACAATAAAATCACCGAGTTAGTTATGACTTTAAGGACTACCACTGTTTATGGGGCTGTGGTGATGCCCCGCCGCTGCTCAAAGTACTGAAGAATGCACTCCATGCAGCTGAAAAATATTGGCATTTCCATGTTTTAAAAAAGGAAAAGCAGAAAACATGAGTTCTGAGCCGCTAAACCAACTACAGTTGAAACTACCGTTTAATAATTCTGGATTTTTTTGATTCAAATTTAACGCATCCAGACCGCTAGCTATTTGGTTGGAAGCGGCTTGGCCGGCTAATCTGAACGACAACATGAATTAGGTCTAATTGAAAAATGAAACTGTACAACTAGAGCTAGAAGCGACTACTTCTCCATATGCTTACCCATCTCTCTGCGGAAACACATATGTAAGCGGTGGTGGGGCGACCGCTGATGGACCTTTCGGTGTTACCTGCCCTGGATATGTGGGTTGTATTTCTTTACCTGGATGATAGCGGTTCCTGAACACGAATAAATTATTATACAGAAACGAATCTTTTGGAGGCGACAATAATATTTTAAG